CAGGGTGGTTGTGAGCTGTGGTGCCGCTGAGGGTCAGAGCAGCCAGTGTCTTGAGCAGCTGCCTCCGCAGGACTGTTCTCTGATTTGAGGGCCACCCTGCTGCTCAGAGGAGGAAATTGCTAGCTGTGTCATTTACATGAGGAATCTTGGCTTCTTAGAAAATCAAGAAACAAGAAACGCACTCTAGCACAAGTTCAGTGGAGGCAGTTCTTATATTTTAACATTCGTTTCTGATTTAAAATCTTACTCTTACTAAAGTGGACGTAAACAAGCTCTTCATTTTAAAAATGTGGTTGGAGAAAATGCATGTCATTAAATAAACGTCAGCATTTTGGGGATGATAAAAATGGCAAGTGATGAGAACTGTGGACGTGGTGCACACACACACAGCAGCTGCCAGTGTAATTCATGACTGCGAGGTGTTGGACCCGATTCCCTTAGGACCAGGGACAACACACGCCTGCCCGTCTCCTGCAGGATCACCACACAGAAGTGTGCCACCAGGTTGAAGCTGAGGACAATTAAACAAGTCCCTGAGAGCCCAGATAGGACCGTGAGCGTGTCCCCCCTGAGTTTAGACCCATCTCAGAAGACCTGTCTGCACTGAGCACGAATGACAGCAGAGCTGCTGGGCTGTGGGAGCCACGGAGACCCTCCTTGACGGAAGCAGGACACTAAACAGGCAGAAAGAGTGAAAAGGCCAAAGCAGATGCAGGAGAGATTCTGAGACTTGCTCTGGATGTAGAGAGGTAAGGCACGCGGAAGACAAGCTGAAGTAAAAGAGCCGAAGAAAAGGCATCAAAGGGCAGCCCACAAAGACAGCGTGTTAGAGTGAAATGTGCAAAGACCTGGAGCAAGGAAGCCAACCAGGAAGAGAATGCTCAGTGGATCTCAAGTCGAAAGAAATGGGAGTGGAGGGGGGGGGGGGGATCAAGCCTTGAGTTGTAATATTGATGAATTCCATGGGCAAAATAAAGAACCATGCGGGAAGCACACATAGATAAATAAATAACTCAAAAGAGATGGAATAAAACAATAAAATAAAAAGAGAAGGAATATGCAGAGACACTACCAAAAATGCCAAAAAGAGCTGAACGCTGTTTGGCAATTTCCAGATGCAGCATGTGATCAAGGACCAGTGTTGAAGGAAGACGTCCAAGCTGCATTTAAGACTCTAGTGACAAGCACGGCCCCAGGCTTCACTGACACCACGTGAAACATGGCAACCAGCTGATGTAGCACTGGGAGCTCTCACACCAATGCCAGGAAGTCTGCACAGCAGCTGCCTCCCCAACCGACACTGGGGGGAGGAGTGGGGGGGGGGGGCAGGACACGTGCGCCCATCAGAGAATGGCTACCCAACAGAATATGGAAATTAATGATACCATTGATCTCAGGTGCAAGAAATAATCTGCTGAAGATTTAAAACCAGCTGAAGTACATTGACTGGGAGCTGCCAGAAATTCAAACCCAACTCAGAAGAAGACATGGAATAAGGGATATCATTGCTGACATCAGATGGGTTGGTGCTCAAAACAGAATGCCAGAAAAATGTTTACCTGTGTTTGATCGACTATGCAAAGGCATTTGACCCTGTGGATCATAACAAACCCTGGGTAACATTGCAAAGAATGGGTATTCTAGAACACCTCATGCGCTTGCAGAACCTGCCCATGGACCACTGAGCAGCCATTCCAACAGAACCCGAGGAATCGGCATGGTTCAAAATGAGGAAGATGTGCATCAAGGGGGCATGCCTTCTCCGTGCTCCTTCTGTCTGTACAGTCAGCGGCAATCTACGAAGCCGGACAGCAGGAAGCAGAGCCGGCATCGGGACTGGAGGAGGCTCAGTAGCAGTCAGCGATGTGCCGAGGACACAACTTGAAAACGAGGAGGACTTGTAGCACCTGCTGATGGGAGTCAAAGGCTAGAGCCATCACTGTGAATTTCGTTGTGCAGCTCAAATAATAAGCCAAGGAAATACACTAACTAAAACCAATGTAAAGATGAAGCCAAAGTTGGCCGATGCTCCCCACGGGTCAAGGAGGAAGAGTTTTTGTTTAGGGGCCTTTGAGTTTATGTTAACAGTGGTGGAATAATTTGGAAAAGGGTATCAATAGTGGTTGTACAATATGAAGAGTATAATCAGTGGCGCTGAATTATACAGGTTGAAGTTGTTGAACTGGAGAATGTTTTATTGTGTATATTTTTGCCACAATTAAAAATAATAATAATTACACTAATAACAATGAGTACAAGGAAGAATTTGTTGTGGTGATGATCGTACAGCTTTTCTGGATGGGACTGAACCACTGAATTGTATGGTATGTGGTCAAACTTGAAAATCAATGTAAGGAAAACCACAACTCCTAACTGGACACCATGCTGAGAAATGGAGCACAGGTTGGCGTTGTCAAGGATTTCATTTTGTTTGATCCTCAGTCAACACGCATGGAGACAGACGGTGTATTGCACCAGGCAGCCCTGCTACACAGGGCCTCTTCCGTGGGTGACAGAGGGACGATGCCATTTGGAGGACTGCGGTGTGCCTGGCCCGGGACAGTAGTCTCAGCCACTCCGTGTGCATGTGGAAGCGGGGCAGTGATCAAGGAAGACCTCTCGAAAGACTGCTCCTGAGGGGGAGATGGAGAGCCTTCCTCTCACGTCCTGCAGACCTGTCCTCAGGAGAGACTTGTC